CACATTCTACGACAATAACATTAATAACAAACAATAAATTTACATGGACATATAAGACGCGGTAGGTAGTGAGAAATCCCTTCTACTTACAATACCCCAGCCCGCGGTGTGGCTCCGGCTGCGGGGCTGTTTTATTGCTGCCTCCCTCTCTTTTTCTCTCTCTCCCTCTCTCTCCCCCTCTCTCTTTTTTTTCTCGGGGTACAGGCTTGTTTTTCAAAGGACAGTTGAATTGCACGTCAGAAACAGGGAGACCGAGCCTGCGATTTTCCTGACGAATACATATCTATTCTGCAACCTCGGCATTAATTATTTAATGAATCACGTGACCAGGAGGGGGAAGGGGGTCTTTCGATTTCAGGCTCAAAGGACCACTATGACCTTCCCCTTCAGGAGGAGAAATTTTCCTGCAAAATAGGTTCCCCCCAACCCACAAATGGAATAGTAGCTAGTTCTCTCTCCCACATTCACATCTGTATCTGCTGTATCTGCATTCCCTAACCAGCCCCCCCAGAACACACACTTACCCACAGCCCACCTCTCCTCTCTCCCTTCTCCTCCTGCTCTGCTTAGTTCGTGGAGGTGCAGAAATAGTCTGCAGGGGCTTCTGGGGGGTGGGGTGGGATGGGCGCAGAGTCCTTCTCCAAGCCCCTGCATTTCTCAGCAACCAGTTCCTCTCTCTGCATCCCCCAACTCTATTCTCTCCCTCACTCCTAGGGTATTTTAGTGGGACCCACTCCCCCTCTTCCTTAAATAACCAACAAAATTTCTAAAGAGACCAGCTTCAAAAGAAGCATTTCATAAGTCCAGATTGTATATGTATAAAGAATGGGGCTTCTGGCTTTAATTCTCTTTTTAAAAAGATCTTTTGTGGTACCTTTTGAAAGGGCAGAAAAGGGACAGGGTGAAGAGATGACTCGGGAGCTTCCAGAGTTGAGAGTAACCACAAGGGGGACTTGTTTTCGTTGTGTTGTTACTATTATAGGGAACCAAAGTCTACTGACTGACTGAGAATACGCTCTAGAGACAAAAGACCTGGACTAAGTTTCCTACACAAAAGAAGTGGACACTCAGTCTCTCTGTACCTACGTACACTCAGTCTCTCTGTACCCATCCTGTCTCACCCTTCCCCACCCCCCAACACACCAGTGAAGACAGCTGGAGATTTGAACTGGAGGGGAGGAGAGGGAAAGGGAAGAAAGAGGCTTTGAAGTTGGCCTGACAGCCCTGTCCCCATTTCCCAGGTGTTAGTACCCCTTGCTTCCAAGCAGCAGACAATGGAGACAGATCAATAGGAAAAAGATGGGGGGATTGCATATTAAAGTGTTAAACACTGGTGATGATAGGAGAAATCCAGTCCCTTGGCCTAGAGAGAGAAATGTACGCAGAATTCTTCATCTCAGATATGAACAAAACAAAACAAAACAAAACATGCCCCCAAACCTTCACATACAGCTTGGCGCCAGAAGAAGCAGACCAGTTACGACCAGAATCCCAGAACCGGAATATTTGGCCACGGTGCGGGATGGGGTTGCAAAGGGAAGCAGGGAAGACATTCCTGAAGGAGCCCCTCGCTCACACTCCCAGCCTTATCTTCAGCAGCTCTGGGGCAGCGGCAGCGGCTGGTGGACTGGGAAGAACAGACGTGTTTTGGGGAGGGGGGCATGGGGCCCAGGGGCCGTCAGCGGTTTGTTTGGAGGGGCCTGAACCAAAAGCAACTGGATGGGGAGAAGGTTGAGGACCCAGGTGCCCTGACCACCCCCGAAGAAACCGCCACCCCCGGGTGGCGTCCGGTCCAGCGGGTAGCGTCAGCGCAGCCCCTGCCTCGGGCACTGGGCCGGCCTGGTCACTTCGGAATCCCTCTCCCAGCCCTCGGGTGGGGGCGCCGGCGGGCCTGGGCTCTGTAGGGGGGTGGTCGGCTTTGATTGTGCAGATACAAAACCCAGGCTGGTATTGAATTCAGCCCCGCGCCCGGCTCCCATGAGGGCAACTCCCTGCATGGTCCTGGCCAGAAATCCATTAAAACTGGTCCCCCAAAGAAAAGCAGTCCACTAAAGTCTGAAAGAAAAATACTAGGGTGTGGGGAGTGAGGGGGTGGGGGAGAGAAAAGAGGAGAGAGAATATGCTGGAGCATAGGAAGACAGCAATCTCTGAAACGGAGAAATTATTTTTAAGGACGAGCAAAAGAAAAGCCAGTGACACGAAGGCACGCCGGGCAGGTTCTATTAAAATGCCCACACTCTTCGGATCCTGGGAATGTCCATGTTCAAATAAACAAGCGCCCGGGCGTGAGCAGAGTGCTTTCTTGCTGCCGATAAAGCGAACGTTTATACTGCGAGAAAGGCGAGATTGATTTACGAATCTGAACGTGCCTGTTTTATGGCCGATCACAAATCCGTCAGCGCTCAACTCACGCTGGGAAACTTCCCAACTCCGCTTTCCAACCAGACCCCCCCCTCCCGGGCCGCCGCTTCCCAGGGAGACCCACCACGGGCGCTGGGGCTGCCCCGGCGGCGACAGGCTCTGGCAGGACCCGGCAGCCCTACTCCGCCCAGACCAGTGCAAGTAGGAGCGAGGGTGGTGAGGGCCCAGGAACTGGAGGAGGAGAGGTCCAAAGATTCGGAGGATAGAGGTGGCCGCTAGAATCGTAGAAGGTGAGCCCAAGGGGCTGGGGAGCGTGCCTGTAGCACTCAGCTCTGCAGAGGTTGGGGTCTGGGAGTGAGGGAGAGGGAAGGTCCCTCAGTTCCCCACCTGTGGGGCTGAAACCCTCAAAGGAACCCCAGCCTTCTCTTTCCATTGTTTTCCTCCTCTTTCCCTTTGGTGGACCTCTAATTCTCACATTGCAGAAAGCAGGTTGTAAAGACTCAGGTGACTAGATCTTTATCACCTGAGCCTATAGAGGGCTCACAACTGGTTATCTGCCCTTATGTGTTATGGGTGTACATTGCCCCAAATATTTTCATCCCAGGAGCAGTCCAGCTTGCCTTTCTGCTCGCTCTCTTTTCTTACCAAGGCCTCCAGCTCTTGCATTTATTAAACCTCCCAGGGACAAATGAGAGGATACCAACCAACACCAGTTATTTCTTGCCTGAGACAGTCCCCAAGACATAGGAGACAATTTACAAAACGCAAACCAACACCCCACATACATCCCAGCAAGTTTCTTTCTCTCCTAGTCTTAACTCAAGGGAACACTTCCTTCTTCCCAGCTGGAGTCTGTCTGTCTGTGTGTCTATCTGTCTCTCTCTTTGTCTCTCTCCCCTCCTAAGAGGATGGCTGCTGGTGTAGATTTTTAAGATACAGCAAGTAGAATACAGATTTGAAAAGGCTCTGTGTTCAGAGTTCACTTCTTAGCAAATCCTCCGCACATCTCTCGAAAGTTGCTGGAAACTTTGGTTAACGTGGCACAGCTGTCCCTGGCGATGGTCAGAACAGCCTGCACTGACCCTTGTCCCATCTCTCTTGCTCCTCTGGTGGGGAGGTACTCCGTGGGCTCTGTGAGTAGCTGGGGTGGGATTGGGGAGTGGGGAAGGGGTGAGAGTGATTATAGAAATAGCTTCCTAAACAAAGGGACTTCAGAAAATGGGTTAAGATTTTGTGGATTTGGATGACAGACCTCGAGAGACAGTAACCACAATGGGGGCCCTGTGTCTCCTTAGGACCCAGGGGTTTGTCTCCCTAGCCCTCTGAAGCCCCTGGACCTCTCATATCTGCCTCCCTTTGTCTTTCTTCCCTCAGCTCCCTCCAACAAAACAGGAAAGAAGGAGGGATGAACTGGACATGGATGGCAGGGTGAGTCTGCCTGAGGGAAGGAGCTCTGCACAGAGAGAGACCAGCACCCTACTTCCCTCCCCCACACGAGCTAAAAAATTTTTTTGTTCCTTTTCTCCCCAATGGACAGTAACAGAAAAACAATCCAGCAATTTCAAGATAGCAAAGAAGGGGTTGTGGGGGCTGGTGGGGGGTGGAGAAGATGGGACATACAACAGCCCAAGGACCCCTCCCTGTGGAGGTGTGACTTTCCCTTCTGGGCAGGAGGCAAGAGCCAACACAATGTCCAGTCTCAGAGAGGTCAAGGGGCTTCCGAGGTCATTTTGTGGTTCTAATACTGAGCTAATCGCCTAGAAAACGTGGCCTCTCCATGAACTCTCTCTCCTGCCAGCCTCCTACTTCCAAAGCCTCAGTGAGCCCCAGGGAAAAAAGGCCAGCACATTCTGGTCTGAGGCAGAGCTCACCGGCTCCCTCACCTTCAGAAGCGGGGCCCCAGAGGGGAGAACAGAGCCCCCAGACCAAGAGAGCAAAAGGAAACCAAACTAAACTCTGAGCCTCCAGGAAGAAGGAAGGGAGCCGAGCGGAAGAAGAGGAAGATTCCAGCATCAACGAACCTTGCCTGTGAACAGAACAGTTTCCTGCTCCAGAGAGTTGCAAATATTTGTCTAGAATCCCAACCTAGACACAAAAAGAAAAACTGAAGACATCCACCTATACCCCGCTCTGAGGTTGGGGCATTCCATTTTTCCAGGAGGTGGCAGTGACAACTGCTCACTGGTAAACAGACCTGTAGGACACCAGCCCCCAGTGTAGACAAGCAGAGTCACGGAACCCATGGGCCACATGTGCACCTCACCTCGCTACACACACACACACACACACACACACACACACACACACATGCTGGGGCTCCCAAGGCCCTCCTGCATTTTCTAAAACCAGAAAGCGCTTCTGAGCTGCCTCATAAACAACCTTTTCTGGGGTTTTTCTGGTGCCTAACACCTCAGTCCCAATCAATTCAAACACTCTCCAGGTGTCAGTCCCTGACCCAAGCATCTGTCATCATAAAAGGCATCAAACCTGACCAACCGTCCACCATAAAAACCCCGCAAAGATAGTTGAAAAAGAAAAAGAAGGAGGCGAGAGAGTGTTTCTTCTTTCCCTAGTAAAAAGAGCTCATAAAACGATTAAAAAAAAAAAAAAAAAGCCAGCCCAGGCGGGGGCTTTGTTACCTTTGAGCCTCTCGCCTCCTCTCGCCTGAACTCCGCGGATCCCATTCATGACGAACGGCTTCTTCCAAACTGAGAGAAAAAAGTTTTCAGCTTTATGGTTCCAAATTTTTTCCCCCTTGCAGATCCGGGAGTGGCGGCTAACACTTTTTTCCCCCAACAGCCGGTCTGCGGAGATTTGCTGTTGAATAATAACAAAGGAGAGAGGATACGTATTTAAAGAAGTGATTAATGGTTTTCTGTATAATTCTCACATTTTTCTTAGCTCTTGTCTACACAGAATGGCTGTGAACTTTAAGCTCCATAGAAATCTTTTTTATTCTATTCATACCTTCCTAAGAGCAGCTTTGATTTGGTTCTATAGAGACATGGGGGGGGCATATGCTTTTTAAGAACTATTTTCCCCTCTAGAAGGGAAGGGCCGCCGCACCCCTTGGCAGCTAAACATCACACCGCGATTCCACCGAAAACAAAGCTCGCCACTCTCAACCTCCAGGTCCGGGTGATTTGCTACGAGTCTCCCCGCAGCATTGAAACGAGCGGTTCAAACGCCCCTTCCCGCGCGGTGGACCCCGGTCCAGTCTCTCCCGGGCCCTACACAGCCTCAGACGCCCGGGAGCTGCACACCGGAAGAATGCAAAAGAAATAACAGTAAAACGCGCTGGTGAAATTGGTTATATTTATTTTCTGAAGGGAGATGGGACCGAAAAACGACTTTTAAATGCATCTGCTCTACCGAGCCCTGAGCTTGTGGGAGGCGAGATGGCTGTACCCGGAGCCACCACCGGACCAGAGCCCCGAGGCCGGAGCCCCCAGACCTTAGAACTTCTCTTGGGCTCAGCCCCAAAGCGGCCCAAGCCTGACAGCGCTTCTGAGGGTCACCTGCACCCCTCCCTTCCCCCACTCCATTCTAGGGGTGACTGGGACCTCAGAGACAGAAAGCTATTTGGTCCCCAGTCATACTTTCGATACTTTCTATGAGAAAGAAAATGAAAATTAATACAGGAGCAGGGCTTCACAAAAGAGGCCATTTGTCTTCTTGATTATCTATTTGCTTGTCAGAGTTTGAGCTATGGCACTGGCTAGCTCCTTTGTAATATAAAAATACTCTGAAAACCTGAAAACACCCAGAAACATCTGTGCAAAAAAATTAGACTCATTAAAGCCTTAAACACCTCAGAGAAAAACGATACCTTCTTACGCGGGAGGAAAGAGGCCGGCCGCTCAGAATCCTCTCTCGGAACTTTAATAAGCAAAGAGCCGTCTGTCTAGAAGGAGACAGCTTTAACCGCATTTTATTTGCTTATGACAAATAAATCACTATTTGAAAGCCTTTGTCATACTTAAGCCTCTTGTGTTCTACAATGAAACATTTTCCCCCCATTAGGGATTGGAGTCAGCCCTCCCAGTCCTTTCAATCCATTTTTGGACTAGAGGGGAAAAATTAAAAGCCCCAAACAAAACACACCCACCCCAAAAGGAAAACAAACCAGCCACCACAATTTGGAGTCCTCTGAGATACAAATTCCCATCGGATCCTTTGAAAAAATTCCTCAACCACATAAACGTGCAGTCGAATGTACTGGGGTGCCTACAATATACTCTGGGAGGCATTTATCTGCATCTTTACATCAAGGTTTCAACAAAAACACGCCGTGCTGGTCACAAGAAACCAAACATTTATTTCTATTGTCACTCTGTACAGGACACACATTTTCACGCCAACAAAGGGTTCTAGACTCAGGCAGCCCCAGAACTAAGAAGGGTCCTGGTTTGGAATGTCAGAAAGAGCATAGGAGAGAGGACGCACATGACATAAAATAATTAATAATAATAATAATCAATGCAACAATGATAAACTATGGGAGAGGTCTCTGTCACCTCATCTCCCAGGTGGGAAGGGCATTTTATTTCCTAGTTTCACATTCACTTTCAGTCTAGAACAGGCCTCCACTGTACAACTCCAGATTGGCCAGAGGGTTGTGCCCGGCTCCCAGAACGCAACTGGCCCCTCACCCCTGCAGGCACGGCTTGACCTTCCAGAGGAAGGCCCTCCTGGTCTCTGGGTCCTCTCCTTCTCTTGGACTCAATTTCCCTGCCCTGCTTCTGCGTAGCCGAGGCACGCATCCCCCCGCCCGCCTCCACTTGTCCCCTTCCTGTGGTCCCTACCCCAGCCCCGCAGTGGAAGGGGGTGAGCCGCCAGCGTCCCCGTGAACGGGCACGGAGGGGGAGAGAGGTTGTGTGCGTGTGTTTGTTACCGTGGCCAAAACACTGCGCTATCTGGCAGTCAGAGGATGCTTTCGCTGGGTTTCAGGAATGGGGACAAAGAAAAAATATCCAGACTGTCTTCCAGCAGCGGCAGCAGCAGAGGCGGCGGCGGCGGCGGCCGAGCCGGGCCTCATTTGTTAGCGGGGTGTCGAGGTAATGGTCGCCACCGAGGCCCGTCCTCTCCTCGGCAGAGTAAACAAGACAGATGGGCCTGGGCCTGGCGTGATTAAAGATGAAACGTGGATCCATCTTCACCAAAGCTGAAAATGAGGAGTGCAGCCTCCTCCTATTTCTCTTTCTGTCTTTTTCTTTCTTCCTTCTTTTTTTTAAGGAAGAAAGCAAGAGACTTGAACCTTGCTTCTGGGGGGCCTCGCCTGGCTCCATATTGTCATTTCTATAAATAAAGCTTCCCCTCCCCCCTCCTCTGCATTTATTCGTGTAAATAGACAAAGTGGGGGGAGAGCAGGTAGGCTTTTTCGGACCCAGGCCTCAGGGTCCCCTCCCGCGTCTCCCCCAACCGCCCCCCCCGCACTCGCAACCCACCCCCGCCCCGAGGTTCGCGGCTCCCACGTGGGGGACACTAGAGCGCGGGGGGGCCTCCGTTGGGCCGGCCAGGGGGCCCTCCGGCTGCGCCTGCGGTGCCACCCGAGCGGATCTTGGTGTTGGGCAACTTGTGGTCTTTTTTCCACTTCATTCGCCGGTTCTGGAACCAAATCTTAATCTGGCGTTCAGAGAGGCAGAGAGCGTGGGCGATCTCCACCCTCCGGCGCCGCGTCAGGTAGCGGTTGTAGTGAAATTCTTTCTCCAGCTCCAAGACCTGCTGGCGAGTGTAGGCGGTCCGAGAGCGCTTGGGCTCCCCGCCGGCGTAATTGGGATTTACTGGACACACACAAAGAGAGGGAGAAAGAGAAAGTTTTATTGCCCCGAAAGGGAGGAGGGAGAGCCCTTTCTTCCAGCTAACACAGTATCTCCCTCCCTCCCTCTCCCGCCACCTCTTCTTCCTCCAGAGGGGGTGGGGATGAAAGAGAAAGCGGGACCCCAGGAAGAGAAAGAGACCTCTAAGTTTTGGAGGATTGTGTGGTCACGACGTTGTTGTTTGGGTGTCCGGGGGGAGTGAGGAATCTTCACAAGGTTTTAATCGCTCCTCTCTCCCCGCACGTGGCCTGGGGCCCGGGATGGGAGAATGAGGGGTGAAAGAGGGAGGGGGCTTCATTAAACCTTTCTTCTGTTAGTTCCCACCCTCTGTGCTCAGATTCCAAGCAGTGCCTGCCCCCAGTAAAAACTTTTGCCCACTTCTCAAGCCAAGGAGCCAGACTAGAGGAAAGAAAGGAAAAAAAAAAAAAAATACAGGGAGTTGACTCAACTCTCAGCTTAAATACAGATTACCTCCTCCCCCCTTCTCCTCCCCCCCTTACACCCCTCCCCAATTTCCAATTTCACTGAGACTGCATCTCCCTGGCGAAAAAGTCGCTGGTGAGAATGGCAAAGAGGATGGGGAACCGACTTCAAAGGCGCGGGGCCCACCAGGCCATAAAAATTTATGGGGGATGTAATTATGTGGCTCTGAAAACAGGCGACCGTAAATCTCCGGCAATGGCGAGTTTATAGCGGGGACAATTGGCTTCCCCTAGCTCCCCCCCCCCCAATGCCTCGAGGTCCCTTTGGTGTAAAGCGCCGGGGGTGGGAGGGGGAAGGGGTGCCCACGCACTCACCCGTGCTCACGTGAACTTTGCGCATCCAGGGGTAGACGATGGGCTCTTTGCACGCGGAGTGGGACGGGCTGGGGTGCAGGGGGTTCTGAGCGCAGGGAGGCGGCGGGGGGCTGCTGCTGACCGCCTCGCAGCGCTGGCCGGGCTCCGGGAGGAGGGCCCCAGAGGGCGGCGGAGCGGGAGCCCGAGGGGACAGCCCGGGCGGTGGCGGGGGCGGCGGGGGCGGCGGCGGAGGCGGCGGGGGCCCAGGGTCCCGGCAGGCCGCGTAGCGCTGCACGGTGCACGCGGAGCGCCGCCCGAAGCCCGCCTCCGGCTGGAAGCTGCTCTCTCGCCTCTGGCCGCCGGCGTAGTACCCCGGCGAGTGGTCGCTGGGTAGGTAATCGCTCTGTGAATATTCCTCGCACGGAGGGAACTTGGGGTCGACATAGTTTGAGTTGATCAAAAAAGAACTCATAGCCATTAATTTCTGGGAATTGTCCACAAAATATACTAAAATTTATTCCGACCCCTGACTCGTTTTCCTGTTTCCGAAAGCCCTCCTACTTACTGTCAAGTGAACAAAGTTAGGGGCCCACGTGATCCTCGGAGCCAATGGCCGCCCCGCCTGCGATTCCCGGATAAGGAAATCTGCTCACCCGGACCCTACTCCAGCCAAAGAGGTTTATTTCCCCTTCTTCTCTTCCCCCCCCCCTCCCCACCCAACACCAGGATTTACATAGGGCTCCTGCGGGGCGACCGCCTCCTCGCTTCTCCTCACCCGGATTGGGGAGAGGGAGGGAGGGAGATGGAGAGCGAGTGAGCAGGTTGCCACCCGAGGGCCTGTTGGGGCGCTGGGCGGAGCGCAATCCCTGGATCCCCTCAGAAGCTGGGGCTTCGGGTGTGGCCCCTCCTGTCCTGCCTCACCTCCCCCCAGGCCTTCCTTAGGGCCCCAGCCCCTCCTCACGACGTGGCCAGGGGGAGCCCCTTTACCCGGCGTCTGTGCGGGGGAGTTAAGTGAGGGACGGACTAGGGGCTCCGCCTGAGAGGGGAACCCACACGGGGGAGAGGCACTGAGCGTGGGCCTTTTCTCTGCAGCCGCACGGGGAGGGGTAGGGAGTGAGAGGGGAGGCATCGGAGCAACCAGGCGGGTGCACGGAGGGACTTGTCAGAGATGAATGGAACCGCGGGCGGATCGATAGGAAATTCATGCACTAATTCGGGGAGACCTCGCCTTCCAAATCGCATTTAGCTGCGCTATTAGTTTGGCTGTGTCAGTCAGTCCGTCTGTTTCCCTCTCCTATCCACTCCTCCCCGTACCCCACGCGGCCCAAGCCGGGAGAAACGACTTGGTTTCCCACACTAAACATGAGCACTAGAGTAAAAAACCTCCAACTTTTGAGAGCACGCTGAATAGAAATTTGCTAATTCCAAAAGCACCGGAGCAACGCTAACCGGGCGTCGAGACGTTGTAATTGCCGCTAATGCGGCTGCCCGCGCAGCGAGCAGAAATCTCACATCCTTGTGATGCTGAGGATAGGAGACAGGGGTGATCCCCGCACAATAACACCCCTTGGTAATCGTGTGTTTCCAGGGCATCTTGTTCTGAACCCAAACGGAAAGGCGACCTCTGCATCCGTTTGAAAAGCAAATTTCCTTTGCCTTCGCACACTGAAGACAAGTCATTTTTACCGGATTTTCAGTGAAGCCTCCCTAAGCCCAAAATAGGGAATAGGTGGGCTGGAGGGAGAGGATAAAATAAAAACATCAGCAACAATATTAACCTTTTAAGTGAAGTGAAAAAGGACCAAGGCTCCCAAGGGCAGGCAGGGGGAGATTTCAGGTAGATGATTCCTCCATCTCTAAGCAGTTGAGGGAGAAAAAGAAAGAGAAAGAAGAAGGAAGGAGTCTTCGTGTGGTCAGTCACTGGATGGTCCTCATTTAGGAAAAAAAAATATTTTTTTCTTCAGGAAGAAAAAAATGAGCGGAGTGTTTATGTCAACTACATATTCCCCTAGATACGAATTTGTGACCACAAAATTCCTTACACAAATTCGGATCTACAGGGTATATACAGAAGACAGATAGATCTTCTTGGCCCAGAAATTTTCCAGTTCTCCTACTTTCCACGCATCCTTCTTTTGGGGTGTAGTTTGAGTGCTTCGATTTGATTTCGTTTTGTTCCAAGTTCTGAGGTCTGGGAGCAGGAAAAGTCACTGCGGTTCCATTCCTGGGATTACAAGGTTTTCAACTCTCTTCCTCTTCTATTAGAGAGAAATAGAAGCTGCCGGTCCCGCAAAGGGACGCGAACCTCGGGGCCGCTGCGCAACTCGGCGGCGCATGAATTATGAGATGTAAACATTAGCTAAGCACAAAAGGAGGAAGGGTCATCCTGAGGCTGCGGCGTAGTCAGAATCAGGCCCTTCTGGGTGCCCTCGCGCCCCTCCCCTCCCCCCAGGACTTTTTTTTTTTTAAAAAAGAAACAAAACCCCAATCGGCAACTCCGTGCTCCTTGCAGCCTTTAGTTTTCGATCAAACGAATATCTAGATATTTTCCAAGGCGCCTCTCAGCAAAAGGAAGAGGGAGAGGCGGCTGGGTGTGAAGGGGGGGGGGTCATAAAAGTCCTTTTAGAAAAATTCAATGGTAAAAAGAGAGAGAAACAGCTGTAAAGAAAAATGCTGGGAGACCAAGCAGATGGGGCCCCGGATAGTTAATGATGGGCAATTCCGTTTACAACCTGAGAAAAAGATCAAAGGCGTTTCATTTCCGAATGAAGGGCAATGAGGAACCATAAAACATGCAGCCAGATGATATTCCGGCCCCTCCCAACCTCCCATACCTCCTGGGGCCAGAAAAGGGGGATAATAGGTAAAGTGTGAGGAGGAACCCCATTTCCCCCACCTCCCTAGCTCTGGGCAGGCTCTCTCAGTTTAAACTTGCTCATTCAGCCACCTGCTAGGCTTGCTGGCAGTGGAACCAAAATGGGGATCTGGGAAACCTGGGGGATCTGGAATTTCTGAAGGGACTTCCTGAGGCTGCCAGTAACCACTGAATTTACTAAGCTGGGAGACTGAGGATGGAGCTGAAGGGAACTGCGTCCTAGACTGTGAAAGCTGAGGGCCTTCACAGGGTGAGCAGAAGGGTTCACAGAAGCCTCTTCTGCACCCAGACTCCCCATTCATCTCTCTAGGTCTGAAGAATACTTGCATCCCTAGTGAACAAATCAGAATAATATCAATTTCTTTAACAAGTACATCACAAAACAAAAAGCAACCCTCTAACCACCATGCTCTAAAGGTCTCTGCCCATCCCTAGTCCTGGGACCCTTGCAGGTGGATAGGAGGAGAGTTTCCACCTACCAGCAACTAAGCCCAGAGACCCTCTGATTTTCTATCCCAAATCTAGATTACCAAGGTTGGCTTCTGGGCCCGATTTCTAACTTTCTAACACCAACACTCTCCCAGCCAGGCTGGACTCACCTATATTTGAAAAATCACACACACACACACACACACACACACACACACTAATATTGTAGTTATCTTTGCCAGGAGAGGGTCCAATAAGTAATCTCAGAACCCCATTTAGGCACCCAGGGAGACTGGCACCTGACCCTGGATCCACAGACAAAATGTGTGGATAGGACCCCCAACAGCCCCCCAGCGTCAAGCAGGGGCTTTTCCAAGTCTTGTCAAGGGCCACTTTAGTGAGGGGCTCCACGACCCCTTCCAGCTGGCCAGGCCCCTCCCCCACCCCATACCTCCTGTCCTTCTCAACTCGCCTCCCTGAAACCCGTCCAACTCAAACGCTTTTCGGAATTTGGGGAGGGCCAATGCGCTGGCCACCGGGGCCTCTCTGCTGCTCTACACTTTCTCAAGAGATGCGGTCCAGGTGCCCCAAGCACCCCAAAAGAGAGGGATGGGAAGCAGAGCCCGCGGGGCTGTGTGTGGCTGATTCTGGGGACAGAGCGCTGGGCGCTGAGAGCCGCCACCTGCCCATCCCACCGAGGCGCCGCACCCCCCACCCCAGCCAGTCCCACCGCGATGGGTGGAGGACTCGGTTTATCTGCGACTTCCAAGACGGGGTTCAGAGCAGGAAGCTGCCTCTCCCTCCACCCCCGAAGAGCACTAACAATGATACGCATAATAATAAGAACCAAGGCTCCACCCGCGTTCAGAGCCACCTCTCCGGCGCTCCCGGTGGCTCGCTGGCCCGCCGGCCGCCTTTTCCCTGCAGCTACAGGTTGCTGGAGTGACCTCTCGCTGCTCAGCCCCTCCGCGGTCCCGGGCGTGCCCAGCCCGCGCCGCATCGGCTACTTTTTGTCGGCGGGGAGGGAGGGACTGAGCGAGGGAGAGAGACCCTGAGGCCAGGAGGCCCGCACCACCAGCGGCGCGGAGGAGCGCCAGGCCCGGAGGGGCGCGGGCGGGAGTACTCACCGGGCCGCTCCCCGCGCCCTCCAGGCCGCCAACCCGCCCGCGGGCCCGCGCGGCTCCCGACGAGCTCGCTCTCGTCCACTATTGCGTGTTCGGAAAACCGAACCACGGCGGCGGGCAGAGGAGCTCCGGGCCCCCTTGGCGGCCGGAACAAGACTTTTTTTTTTTTTTTGGTGTGTTTTTGTTTTTGAAGCGCAAGTTTTCGTATTAATCTCATACTTTGGCAGTCTTTGTTAAACAGCTAGGCGCGTCACCAGGCTCTCGAACATTTTAATAATTTTTAGACGCCGTGACCTGCGGTTCACCCCTCTCGGGCCTCCCCCACGAGCAGGCAGTTACTATAATACGCTCGCGCAGTTCGCTCGGTCATATTGAATTTTGCGCAGGTCATTACTTGGGAGAAAAATGACAGAGCAAGGAATTTGATTCAGCTCATCCTCTCCAGCTCTTTTTGCCAGAAACTTCTCTCCCCTTCCCCCCACCCCCACCCCCAAAAAGTCCCATTCGGATAGAACTCAGCCCGGCCCCGCCTCTTCTTTGATATTCCATCATTCCTATATTTTTTGTCAGCTCTCGTTCGGGGGCCAAGAGGGAAAGGGTAGAACTCCGCGGGGGTTCCCTTTGCGGCCTGTGATGGAGGCTGGCACCTGGAGAAGTGGAAATGTGGGGATCTGGGTCCCAGAGAGCAGGCCTCAGCCAGAGCCCCCTTCCCTCCTTCCTCCCCTATAAATGGCTGTACTGACAACGCCTGTATTCCCACCCAACTGCACACTGCATCTGCTTTGTTCTACCCCTCAATGCCAGAGAGACCCCCATTTCTGCCAAAACTTTAGAGGCTCCAGGGCCCCAGGAATGACCCCTCTACCTCCTGGTGCTGAGATTTGGTTCACAGGCCAGCATGTTTGGGGAAGATAGAATTCTGAGAGAAGGGCTGGACTGCACTGGTCAAAGCTGGGGCACTGGCTTTCAGAGGCTTTAGTTGTCCTTTAAAAATCAAACAGTATCCTCCCCGTCTGCATTTTTATTTAAAACTACTTTTCATCTGTACAGTAACTCCTTTGCCTGCCCCCAGCACCACCACAAGGAGGTTGAGGAGGAAATCAGAGAGGTGTTAAAAATACTCAAGAGATTTTCTTTGGTTTGTCCCTCCAGGATCAGAAATAGGTGATGGGCCAGCAACACATTTCCCCCTTTCTCCAGCCTCCAAGGAACCAGCAGATCAGGTGACTCCCCTCCACCCAGTTCAAGTCTAGGGGGAGTGTCTGCAAGGGGGTATCTCCCTAGTGCGGGGAGGCCGGAAGAGAGCATCCCAAGGTACCCAGCTTGGCCTGGGATGGCAGAGGACTCCTCTTTCTCATTCTGAGGCCCCTCCAGCCCAGGACCTTGGGCTGCTCCAGTCTATTCCACAAAACTATCAACTTGCTAACATACTGTCCTGGAATGGAGGGAAAAGAGACTGAGGAGGAACAGAAAGAGATAGATTCTCCAGTTCAGGTTTTGACCTCTACCTCCTCCAGACCCTAGGAATTCCCTATGGCCTGACTCCCCAGAAAAACTTGCCTGAAGGCCAAGCAGAAATGAGGACCCACACCCAATTGGTTTAATTTTTTAAAAATATTGGGGTCAAATTGATTTGAAATTTGACATTAAACTGTGGTCTCTTCTGGCCATATTTCAAAAT